AGTAATTGCAATTAAAGTTAACATAAAAGCTTTAGCCACTTCAGGCGGTTCCTTTAAATTCTATTATACAATGCCACTGTGTTGCTAACAGCTCATAACCCAGAATTTTTTGATTCGAATGACAGAGGCTATTATTATTATCATTATTATTGTTATTATTATTATTATTATTATTATTATTATTATTATTATTATTATTTATTATTATTATTAAAATTCGAATGAAACCAAATAATATTAATGCTATTTTAAGATATATATATTTGAAATAATACTTAAACTAAATATTTCATAATCCTTAAATTCAAATTTTAGCAGCGATGATGCGAATTGGGTTATAAATCATTTTCGGAATCAGATCAGGCGGCAGCAACCATATGGTGGATATGATGATGATGAATATAAGAAATCCACCGTAGGTGATATTTATGATGGACTTTATGACAACCGTCAAGAGAAGATGAAAGATAAATGTCAGTTGAAATTCAAAAATTAATTTGAAAAAAATTGGTTCAATAAAATTTTTGATTACTTATTACTTCCAAAAATTATCCTTAAGTAAAACTTGGCTAAACTTCAACTTTCTTAATTTATTTTCTACTTTATTCATTCAGTTTTATTTATTATCAGTTTTTTGAAATTTTGCTGAAATATGTCGAACATGAATTGGGTACACTACGGAAAAATTCTTTTTTAATTTTTATAAAACAATTGGTATTTCGAATAAGTATTTAATTATTAAATTTAAAAAATTCCAGTCGAATCAATTTAATGAATATAATTAGTTAATTAATTTGGAAAATTACATCAAATTTCTAAGGTAGAGTTTGATTGAATACTGCAATCTAATGTGTATAGTCAATATGAACACTTTATAAGTTAGGTTGCTGCCAGTTGGGTGAGCCTGGATTACCTGGTCAACCTGGTATTGATGGTGAAAATGGTCTGGATGGTAAACCAGGAGAGGATGGCATACCTGGAGAAGGTTTTTTTATTTCATTAACAAATAATATGAAGAAAAGCAATGCATATATTAATATAAATATATTTAACGATGCATATATTAATATATTATTTAGATGCGGAGCAAGATTATTCAACTCCAATAATAGTATCATGCGTCAGAGAATGTCCACCAGGACCTCCTGGTCCGCCAGGTATTCCTGGAGACAAAGGTCCCAGAGGATATGAAGGTGAAACAGGCGAACCAGGCATTCCAGGGAAACCTGGAAAAAAAGGACTACCTGGAAAAGAAGGACCAAAAGGTCCACCAGGTATAATAGGTATGTTGGAAGCTTTTGTTTTTTGCTTATATAATAGATTATAAAAACGGCATTAATTGAACTAATGACCAAAATATGCAAACAAAAAGAGTCGCGTGAGTCATATTGTTGTTAATTATTCATTAAAATATATTACTGATTCAGGACGAGAAGGAAATAAAGGAGAAGCGGGAAGTCGTATGCTGAACATTGGACCACCTGGACCACCAGGCCGACCTGGTGAAATGGGACCACCAGGAGTACCGGGACCAGCTGGTGAAAAAGGTCAACCTGGTGAGAAAGGTCAAACAGGTGTACCAGGTGATGAAGGAAATGCAGGTTTGCTTTCGTACTAATTTGAAACTATATTTCATTTAAATCAAAAGAAAAATAAATGAAAGAACTATTTTGTTTTGTTTTATTATTAAAGGTTCATATGGAAAACCAGGAATGCTCGGTGCACCAGGGCCAAATGGTAAAAAAGGTGCAAGTGGTAGTTGCGATCATTGTCCAAAACCACGATTACCTCCTGGTTATTATTTACAACCATCAGAAAATTATCGTAATTAATCTTTTGTAATTCAAATTTATTGCATTTTTGCTTATTCATTTGTAAATTATCAAAATAATAAATATTATTGTAACTATTTTATCTGAAGTATATTAATAAGTATATTATTTATTTAAAGTGTGTTATTGAATCAATTTTCGGCAGGATAATGTTAAATGATAAGACAAATAATTTTCATTTCTTTAAAATGATCATTTGAAAAAATTTACTACGAACAATATTAATTATTTGAAAATGAATTTCAGCATTATAAAATTTCAAACTTATTTAAAATGATCATTTTAAGGAAAATGAAAATTAAACGTGTATTTATCAAATGTTTGATCAAATCAATCAATATTGCTATCTACGAATACAATATGATAATGAATTACGCTTATTATTAAATTTTACCCTGCAAAAAATAAAATTAGAATTGAAAAATATTTAAATTACTCCGTTGAATTTTTAAAGTTTTTGAAATCCTTCCAAAAAGAATTACTAAATTTAATTTTTTACTACAACAAGCAAATTTTATGATAATTCTTCTGAATATCCTTCACAATATTCAATCAAAGTTATTGCCATTTCAATTTGTTTCAACGATCAAAATATTAAGCTATCAAATTTGATTTGTTATAAAAGATGCAAATTACATTTCAGTTTAATGCAGAATTAGTGATAAGAGGGAAGATTTGAATTTAATCAATTTGAATCAAATTTGAAAAAAAAAATCAATTCATCATATTTATCATTTAATCTTATCAGCGTTGAGAAACACTAACAACAACAAATTATCGCATTTATCAAATTAATCGTTTTTTAAAAATTATTACTATGCTTGAAATGGTAAAAAAAAAGATGATAATATTTAAAATAATTAATTAATGAAGAACAACAATTAACTAATAATGAATTATCACTTATTTTTTCCCTTTATCATTTGTATCAGTAATAAAGAAAACAATGATAGTTAGTAGAATTTTTATTAAAATTTAGATAAATTTGTATGAATTTAATCACGAGAACAATGTAAATAGTAAACAAAATTAAATGATAAATAAACAACAAACCCATTCACTGCTATTTTCTTATTTTTCATTTCATAAATTGATAATTTTTTTTGCAACCTTTTTTTGATGACAGAAGTTAAGTACCAAATTAAATTTTTGTCGATAGAAGTAAGTACCAAATTAAATTTTTGATGATCGAAGTAAGTACAAAATTAAATTTTTAATGATAGGAGTAAGTACCAAATTAAATTTGTTACAGTAATATACGAATATGAAAGAAAAGCTATAGTAATAACGGTAGTGTAAGTAAAATCAATTAGAAATTACTGTATTCTACTCTTTACTGCATTGTATCCTTTTAAGTGATTTTTTTTAAATTTAAATTAAAATATATCATAATGAGAGATTACTGTCAAAAAGAAAAGATTATTATTTCAAAAAAAATTAGTAAATAAATAAATATATCAATAATAATTATAGCTTATTTAAAATTTTAGTTTATTTAAAGAGGAAAACAGTGAAAGAAAGAGAGAGAGAGAAAGAGAGAGAGAGATAAGAAAAGGAATGGTAAAAATATTTTTTCCACAAAACATTAATTAATGATTTAATAAAAAAATTAACTTATATGAAATAATAAATTGAAAATTTAAAGATAACATTTTTTTGTTTCGAGAAAAATATCAGAGATAAACGGAAATAAAACAAATAATATCAAAAATTACTTATACTTAATAAACTATAAAATAAATTAATTTATCTAAGTTAAACAAATAACTTATTGAGGTAGTAGTAGAATAGATTTCGAATATTTATATTTGAAAGGTAAAATATTTAAAAGGTAAAAATTTTGAGAATATTGAAATCTTTTATATACTAATATCAAAGATACTGTAATGTTATGAATTATTGGATTGTTTATCGTTGGCAAAAACTTTCTTTGTTTTTGAAATGAAATTTAAACTATGTAAAATAAAACAATGAGAGTTGTAATTATTGCAAAAAATAAGCAATAATGAAATATTGAATAAGAACCACGGAATGAATGCATGATAACAGAGAAATAATAAGAAAATCAAATTTTGAAGTGATAATTGAACCGGTTTTTACTGATTGGCATTGAAAAATTATCGGCAAGTATTTGATCCTTATCATTCTTCTCATTTATCACTTTCAGAAGTTAAGTTTTTGATTTAATATTTTTCATCTCTTAAAAAGGAAAAAGAAGAAGAAACCGAAGGTATAAAATTTCGAAGTAATTTAAAATATATATATCGCAAAGAAAAAAATGTCCACATCCTAATATTACTAAACTTTCTTGTCTTTTCTAAATTTTTCAACTTTATATTTTAAATTCATACCGTAAAATTCGTACGTTTAAAATTCTTATGTCAAATTTCAGCAATTGTTGCAAAATCAATTTCACTCATTATGAAATTAACATCTCTTTCATATTAAATTATCATTGATATTTGTTTTGACTTTTTCTTTTGTTTTCTATTGATGAATTTTTGGCATTAAAAGAATTATTCGAACAAAATTTTTGTTAATAAATTCTAATGATTGTTAATTTGTAATTGCTTATAAATTAAAATTTAATCAATAATTTGAAATTATTCAAAATTAGGAATAACAAAATTTCACAATAATAACTAATTTCAAACTTGAAAATACTAAAATTTAAAGCGCAATATTAGCATGTCTAAAATGCATTGTTAAAATTAAATTTACATCCATTCATATATAATATTCGAAGATTTCAGTTGTCGTTAATTTCAAAGAGCAGCAAACTATAATTCCAAATAGAAATTCAATAATTGTCGCATATCACAAGATAACATATAATTTCATTCTTTCTATTAGTGCAACATTGATATTGGCATGAAATTTTGAAACAAAACGCATTTGTCTTTTAATTACTACAGATAAGTGTACTGGCGATGGAACTCATTAATTTTCAGCTATTTCAAAATACGAAATTTGATCGATAAGAAGAATAAAGGATTGATATATGTTTCAGTTATTTTTGGTTCCAATTCGTTTTTTCTCTGTTGAAATTTTGTCCTTTCGTATTTCTCAAAGAAAAACGATTCCATTCCAAAATGATTACATTTTTCAACATTTCATTTTACGATTATAAATAATGAAAATGAAATTCGGAAAAGTAATGAAAATTAGAAATTATTATTAATTAATTATAAAGAAAAAGATAGAGTGAAATGAATAATCGAAATTATAAAAATACGATTAATAATCTTATAATTTTCTTATTTACCTGAAAAAGTTAAACAATTTTTATTTAACATTTTTTGTTTACAAATTTTGATATGTTTACAAATGATTTATGTTTATGAAATTTAACTTCTATTTATTCTTTCTTTATGCTTTGTCATAAATTTTCTTTTTTTTTTTCAGAACATATCATTAATTAATAGCATAATTAATTTGTCTACGAAATTTTCGCATTTAATGAATTTTTCTCATTTGAAATTTCAACTTCTAAATTTGAACTTTCTTTTGTAATAGTTTGCAGCTTATTAATTAGTAGCATAATTAATTTATCTACGAAATTTTTGCATTTAATAAATTTTTCTCATTTGAAATTTCAATTTCTAAATTTGAACTTTCTTTTTGCAATGGTTTGCAACATATGCAATGGTTTTGGCAATTATTTTCTGATTTGCAGTATATTTCATAACTATTTTCTGATTCAAAGAATGTTCTATAATAGAAATTTAAAGGAAATGTATTTGTGAATACAAATTGTATAAATTTAATTTTGAAATTTTTGGGATAAAAATCATTATAAAAATTATTAATGATAAATGAGAAATAATAATATATGATATTATTATAAATTTAGAATTGAAAAAAAGAATTAAAAATTTAAAACTCCCGCAACTCTCGCAAAGTTCCCGCAACTTATTCAAATTTTATACGTAGTAATTATATTTTTCATATTTAATATGCTATAACATTCATTGTTTCAATAATATCCAACTTCAGATTATTCTAATTTAAATGACTTTAAAATCTGAAATATATCACTCAATAAAAGTATATTCGAAAACTTAAATATATGCATGCCAAAAAATTAGCCAAAAATAAAATTGTTGGCAATGAAATCTCATTGAATCAGCTCACATAAATTTCTCATCGGGTGTAACAGGATATACCGGTACCATCTGGTACATCTAGTAGTAATAATAAACCCGAATTATAATCACATAATTATGATTTATGCAGGATATGAGAGATAATAACAAATATACCACCTTTATTAACAAGGTCAAATAACTCATTTTTGCGCTGTCACATTAAACTGGTATTTGGCAACGACGTGCTGAACTAGGTATGAATCAGGCTTCAATTTAATAACTTCTCTCTTTAACCCTATTTGCTAAATTTATTGATCAGAATTAATAGTCTTAGAGGGAGATTATCATGTTATCGGTTGCCAGGTTGTGAGTTGTCTAAGACTACAAAGCAGGAAGAGGGAGAAGAAAGAAGACGAGGAGAGAAATGTATGTAAGTAACAAGTTTTATTTAGCATTTTATTGGCTAAATTACCACCACTTCGGGTTATTTCCATCCCTTCTAACATGTAATTTTGCATTTTATCATATACAAAATCTATTACCATTTTGAACATTCCTTTATTTTGTAAACAATTTATGCTTTCTTATTCTTTCCACCCGTAATAAGATGAGTAAGGTGAATGGCAAGGGGAATTTGTGTATTTGATGGAAGGTAAGTATTACTGATTTTGATGTTTTGCATTTTAGATATAAGAGAATATGTTCATTTTCATTTTGTAATTTTTTCTAATCTTTTCAATCATTGACAACCCTCCTACTCTCATTTTCTACCTTATTTGCAAGATGTTATTTTTAGTAAATCTCTTCACTTTCTACCAGCATAATTTTCGCATACAAGTGCTTTACATGCTCTTGCCTTTTTCCCATACTCGAAATTATTTCGCCTTTTAATCTTAGTCTCTTACCAATGCA